TGGTCTCAAACAATGGTCTGCAGTGGTCTGCAGCTTGGCAGGCGTCTCACGTAGGTGTCACACCATCCACCATCCCCTCTACCTACCAATGACAATTCCAGTTTATATACTACACTACCCTGGAAATGTTGATATGATGCATATAATACGCGCAAATTTGCCGACATTTTCCTCTGGGGACTGGGCTATGTGTTCACCCAAGATGGTGGCTCACAGTTCCTCAAGAGTAAATTCTGACAGGATGGACAGTTTATATAGTGCTATGCTATACTTGTATGATGGAATTTAAAATAGTAATGACATAAAAGTGATAAAGCAGCATTAAATCAGAAGTCATTTAGCCACTTTGAAAGATGTGATGCAGAGATGAGACTGTCTTCTGTTTTCTGTACCCACATGGGGACAAAAACCATTTCACCACATTATGAGGACTCTCAGCACCCGCAGTGTAAACTAGTTATTTGTTATTAGTTGGCATGAACATTAATGCATTTGTTTCAGGGTTGTAGAACTAGACCTGAGGCAATCATAGTTAAGGGTCAGATTAAGTATCTAGGAATAAAACCTTTATCATTACAGGATCCTCATAAGTGACAAAAACAAGATTGTGTGTGTGTGTGTGTGTGTGTGCAGCTGCAGGCAGCAGTGTGAACCACACAGGAACAGACAGCAGCAGAACTTATATAAGACACATGATCCAAATTCACATCAGCGTTCCCGTCACCTCTGATCTCTGTGATGTCACAGCGGCTCAAGTCCTCACCGCAAACCTGCAAACAGCGGCAGCTTGTCCCACAATTCAAGAGCCAAACTGGGGCTTTTTTTTAATGTTACAGAACAGAAAGAGAAAGTTAGTGTTTGTGTCAGAGTTAAAGTTTGTATTTGCTGTTTGTGTGTCGAGGTGAAATGGAGGAAACAGGAACTGATTTAAACCAGCAGGAAAACAAAATTACAAAAGCATAAACTGCAAGGAAAGTCAGACACCAGACTGCATTTCCTTTTCTGTCTCAACCTTGGATGAAAAGTCCTCATGAAGACACATACTGGCAGAAATTTAGGACTCTTGGGATTTGGAAACTTACTCAAAACTTTTTAACACAGCAAACTACAGTGTAGTTTCTCCAAAATATAATTTTAAAGATGTTAAAAGATACAGAAATGTCTTATGAAACCCTTTTCTAGAAATTAAAGAAACAAAATGTGTGCATTTGAGAAAGTGAATTACAGTCTTACACATCCAGGGTTTGATCCAGAGCATGCAGTGGCTTATAGGTAATGAGATGACAACCATGAACCACAACGTCTACGAACTGACTCTGGCTGAGCACATTCTTAGCATCTCTCTTGCCCTGGTTTTCTGTCATCTCTCTACCGGTGCTGTTTAATAAGAGCATGACATGTCCAAAACAAAGACGTAATGGCCAGACACTGTGCCCAGTTGTCTCTCATTAAATCAAGAGAAGAATCAATGCTGTTGGCAAGACTTAAGCTGCTATATCCACATTAAATTGCAAGCAATGTGCATTACAAGCCAGTATCTGTACAACTGGCCAAAATGGTTTGTTGGGGAGGGAAATACCACTTTGTTTCATTTTTATATTTACAAAGATAGCAAGTAGATTGCATCTTCTTGCTTTTCAACAAAAGGACCTGCAGTGACATGTCTATTCATAATCCATTAAGCATTAGGTGAGTTCTCAGGATCATTTAAAAGAAATCTATTTAGTTTAAAAAAAAAGTTTTGGGGAAAAAAGTTGTCTCATTCTCTGTCTTTCTGAGAGTAATGTGAGAAAATCAACATCAGTCTAACTTCCGTTACAGTATTTCACTGTGGGAAAGATAGTCTTCTCATAAAACTAGGCTGTCCATGCAGTAGTAAGACACAAACACTTTTGAAATTGGTGCCACATGACAAGAGAAAAGAGAGGAAATGGGCTGTGGCATTCGCTTTTGCTCAAGAGGTAGAAAACCTACAATTACCAGAATGTACTGTGCCACACAGGACCAATAAATGCCTCCACTAGTGGGTGATGTAATGCAAGCTTGTCCATTTTGACACAGGAAACAAATATGGTGGCTGGCTGGCAAGAAACAATCTTGTATTACGCTTAAACAGCAAGCTTAAGTATGTTTTCTGAAACATTTTTTATGACAATGTCTGCAACATAACAAAATTCTCCAGGCATGCAAAATGTAAGCACAACACCTTTTTGTCAAAAATATGTCTTTTCTGTTGAGCAACACTCTTCAAAAGTGTCAAGTGCCCAACCATAAATTAGGTGTTACTGTTACTACTGTTACAGTATATCTCTCATGCTGTATGCGACCTGTCTGACTTGTTCCTCTTTTCTTATTTTGTGACTGTATGTGGATGACCAAAATAGTTTACCCTCTAGGGATCAGTAAAATGATGTAATCATAATCTACATGCTGGAAATACTTCTTTCCACCTGCCAGGAGGAGTAACTTCCTGAAGTATTGTTGTCTTAGCTGTACAGAAGTACAATTTTCACAGTATTGATTTTGTCTCCTTTGAAGGAGCAGTGACCCCTTAGATAAGGACTGATAGGCGTATGCAACTCGCAGTAGTGTCTCTCCCGCTGGCTCCACCAGCAAGTTTCTGCTCAGTTTATAGACTTTGAATTCCTCAGCTTGAGGAATGTTGTACAAATATAAAACCTCCATGGACCAAAAATTCATAATAGAGAGAATTATAATTGACCTGTTTGCAATTCGAGGTGTCCTGTCAACAGTTTTACAGACATCTCTTTTGTAATGGTGGCCTATGGGAAAAATGCTTTTTGGGCCGAAAGGGATTTTTTCCCTGCATTGCTGCGAGTGGCCACAGGGATAAATTGGCTGCAAGGCTGAGCAGGTCCTGAGGACCTAGTTGGAGTGCACCATGCCAAGCCTATATTCATTGAAACCGCCCAGGATATGCATATGACTATGTCTGCTTTTCAAAATAAGATGTTAATACAGTACATAAATACATATATGGAAGTATGATAACATTGGATTTATTCGCAAGAAGTGCAGAATATGTTAACTACGTAACTTTCTGATGACAAAATGTGCTTAAATTGTAAAACACATTACTTCAGAAAAATTAAAACAGAAAACATGGAATCTGGAAAAAATTACAATAGATTTTAGATAGATTTTATATGACCCTATAAATGCCTAAATGCCTTAAAGCCAGTTTAAATTTAACTGTAAAATCTCAAGACAACATCAACACAGAGAAGAAAATAAGCTTCTCTTTATGAATTCCTGACATTCCTGCAGAGTCTGTTTAATCTGCCCAGAGGCCCGGCAGCCATGTTGAAATTAAAATACAACCAGACTTGAGCCTCAGATGATAGAATAAACAGGCCTTTCAGTGTGAGAGCAGAGTGAGGCTGGCATCAGCAGGGTCTTGTGTTTATGTGGCTACAGGCTGCTTGTTGTTGAAGTGAATTTGGCCCGACAGGAAACGGCGTGTGTCCTAAACACAGCGGGCTGGACACTGCCTCTCCACACTGTCCCTGTCTCTCTCTGTCTCTGTCTTTCTTTCTGACTTTCATCGGTCCTCCTGCTGTTCAGAGTCTAACTCTGTCTTTCTCTCTCACATCTTCACCTGCTGTGACTCACTTCACTCCTGTTCCATTTTTTGTCTATATAATTTTCTTCCTCTTGTCGACCTAAAAAATCTTTACTGTCAGCTCACCTCTTCTTCTTCACCCCCGCTGCTGCTGTCTTTTGTTTCTGACTCTGAAGTACTTTTAGTACTAACACCAGCAATATCAGTAGTAGTCTTAATAGATGTAGGTGCACAAGTAGCTCATTAAGCAGTGATTGTTGTGGCAGCAGCAGTATTGTAGTAATCATAGAACTAGTGGTAGTGACACTGTCACAGGCCAAGGCAGTTCTGTTCTGATCTGATCTGGACAGAGTTTAGTTTAGTTGTGTTGGGTTGAATTGAACTTCATATTGATGCTGTGGAGCTGCTGCTGCTGTTTCCTGTTTGGGGTGTACAGTGTTCCCTTTGTTTTCCCCTGTTACAACCAAAACAATGAAAATGAAAAATGCCTCTGTATAGAGAAAACAGGAAACGTTAGGGGAGGAGTCAAAGAAACAATCAATGAAATATCAATAAAAAGTATATTTAGGTGGAGTGAATTCTATCCACTCCATGTTTGAGCCTCTTACTGGCAACAGCCATCACCTGAGGCATTATGTTTTCATGTTGTCTGCCCATCTTATTCTTGTGAAGTCAATATCTCAAGATTTCCATGAGGGAATTTCCTCAAATTTGGCACAAACATTCACTTGAACTCAAGGATGAACTAATTAGATATTGGTGGTCTAAGGTCAAGGTCACTGCCACCTTGTGCCTTTCTCATGTTGTGAATGCAATATCACAAGAAGGCCTTGAAAGAGTTTCTACATTTTTGGCACAAAACTCCACTTGATTCAAGAATTAACTGATTAGAATTTGGTGATCAAAGATTACTGTGACCTCACAAAATGTGTTTTTGGCCAGTACTCAAGAATTCATACGCTAATTACGACAAAATTTCACATACATGTCTGATAGAATAAAATGAAAAAGTGATTATATTTTATATCTAAAAGATCAAAGGCCAGCTTCACTGTGACATCATAATGTTCTGCAAAAACACTTTTCTGGCCATTACTCAATGTCATATCTCAGGAGCACATGGGGAGACATTTGCTCCGATACTGAATTGTTGACTTTAGTTTTTTGTGTCTACCTTGAAACTGTGCTTTTATAGATTGCTTCCAGGTTGAAGATGTGTGTGAAGCATCCATGTTTTAGAATTTGTAGCGTCTTTGCAGCATTACCCATATTTGAGGCATTGTCAGCTGTCATTGCTACATATGAGTTTAGACAGATGTGGATTTAAACTGCAACCTGGCTACTTGGCAAAGGCCCACAACCTACAACAATAATTCTAGTTCTGTTAATAACCCCTTCCTCTCTCGATTCCCTCCAGGTCCACTGAAGGTGGTTGTCCCCACCGAGTCCGTCTCCTCATACCTCGGTGATACCGCCCTGTTGCGCTGTGAGGTCTCGGGTGACCCAACGCCTGTCATCCGCTGGCAGAAGAACCGGGAGGACCTGCCGCTGATGTTTGACCCCGATTCACGCCTAGCGGTACTACCATCCGGCTCGCTGCAGGTCAGTCGCGTCCAGCCGCCAGACTCAGCCACGTACCGCTGTCTGGCTGACAACCCCGGCAGCACCAGGACGGGGATGGATGCCGAACTCCGAGTGCTCCCAGGTAACTGAACGAATAGTGATACACTGAAAGCACATGGCTGCTTGGTTTACTGATCAGTTAGGCAGTGGTGGACTGTAAGCATAATTACTCAGCTACTATACATGAATACAAATTTGAGGTACTTGTACTTTACTTGAGCCTTGTCATGCCACTTTCTACTTCTTTTACAGTACATCTGTAAGAGAAATATTATTCCTCTTATTTTACTACATATGTAACAGCTTTAGTTGTTAGTTTCTTTACAAATTAATTAAATTAATTTTTAATGAAACGTATCACCAAGCAATAAGTTGATTAATGAAGGAAATAATCAGCTGATTAATAATAATGAAAAGAGTCATTATTAATAGATAAAAAAAATAGCTCCACCTCAACCAACTACAACTGTAAAATCCTGCTTTAATATTAATGCATGAATAATGATAACCTGAAGGTATCATATGTAATAGTAAACAGTCACCGAGGAAATTTTTCTGAAGTGCTTTTACATTTAATTCTGTAAATATTTTTCCCCGTTATACATATGTACTTATATATATAACCCGAAGAGACCCATGCAACTGCCAGTGATCTTGGCTGACATTACTGTCTCTCAGTGGCTGTTGCGGGCTGAGTTTTGAAGCTAGAGTGAAGGCACTGGTATCTAATGAATCCATGTAATGCTAGCTTGTTGGAAACGGGGTTAAGTAACGCTCCAAGGTAAGTCTAAATTTTGGCAAGGCAAAAACTGACATTACCATTTTCAATGCACAGAATGGCACATCCAATGCTTCAAAGAGGCAGTACAGGAGGTGGCGCACATTAATAATCCTCCAGGACTGTAACATGCTCATTCCTGTTTAACCCAAACAATGCTTAATGTGACTGCAATTGATTTGGATTGATGTCGGAACATGTTATCAACACAAACAAACTGCACCAGAGAGCAGGTGTCAAAGCACCCTGAGTAGTTTCTAAAACAGAAGTGCTCACCATCTAATCGCTGAAAAAAACACAGTTCCTACAGAAATCTCCAGATGTTAAAAATGTTTTGACACCAAATTACAGCATAGTTTTTACGGTGTTCCTCAAGGTCTCTGTTTCTTAATGAGGTATTTTGTAGGCATTTTTCACCATTTTTATCAATTCTCAAGTGGTAAAACATGCTTAAATTTAACTCGCAAATCTGTGTAACAGACAATATCAAAGTTTCAAAGTTTGAATCGGCGCCTGACCAAAACACAGTGTAAATTACTGACAAATTTAACACACAGTGCTGAGCGGCAACCCAAATTAATCTTCAGGTTTGGTTTCTAGCTTTCAGATAATGTATACCACTCCATGTGGCATATACTGTTGAACTACTATCACCCCATAAAGATCCCCGTCCCCCATAAAAAGACAAAAAATGGTCTATGATGGGTCTCTTTTGTAACATTTTCAGTGCAGGACTTTCGATTGTGACAAAGTATTTTTTAAGTGTGGTATTAGTAGTGTAAGGCATATCTTACCTTATCTTAGTACTTTCACTTAAGTAGGGGATCTGAATACTTCCTCACCCCCTGCCACTGGGTACCACACATGTCCAGTCAATTTATTCGAGTCTGGCTGCCTTAAGGAGCAACTGAGCCTAAAATAGATTCATTTATTTGGATTCAGTGGAGAGTTGTGGCCTCCCACAGTAGTGTGAATGAAGTTTTAGAGCCCTTTCTTGGAATTTCATATAATTTATGTTATCAAGCTCCAAAAGCTGATTTAGATTTCCACTCTTGTTATGGTGAAGTACTGCAGCAGCAGTTTTACTTAATGGTGACTTCTACTTTTCCTGCAGTCATCATTTTGTCAGGTAGTAATTTTTGTTCATTTCCACCCAGTGCTAGATGTCTCATTTTAAAATGAAATGTGATGTAATGAATAAACTGAGTGTAAGATGTGATTTTAATAATGTGTCTGAGAGGAAGCGGCTTCTCATCAGTCTGCAGGGAGTCTGTCAGCCGCGCCGATGCTTCATACACTCCACGCCGTCCAATTATACGAGTCCATACGCTGTCCACTTCATCATTCAGATAACAGCTCAGGTTAGCTCTCTCTCTCTGGTTAAACACCACTTTGACTCAAGCTCATGAAGTTTTCCTGCGCTCCTTCCCAGCAGGGCCTCCATGGAGCTGAAACGCCGACCTTCAGAAGGATAATCACATGTGCTTTGCATTACAAACTCCACTCACACATAGCTGCCCCCCACCAACCCATCTGCCCTCACACACAGCTGATAATAATTTAAGGCCAGGGACAATTAGAAGACAACGTGTAGGAGGAAAGCTCAGAGGGGACAAAAGTTATTGATTACCTTAAAACACACCTGGCTATTACATACTGCAGTATGAAAAATATATCAGTAATACATATCAGTAAAAACATAAAACATAAAAAAATACATAAATAAAATGATAAATAACAAAACAGAATAGCAAATAAAGGGAAATGTATAACTGAGTAAATAAATGAGATTAAGAAAATGAAAAGTTAAAATTAAAATGGATTATTAAAAAAAGATTTAGTAATGAAGAATATCCAAATAAAACAATAGGTACATTACACATACAACAGATAAACACATTAAAAAAAAAAGGATTAAATTGAATGTTTTAAGAAAAATCATCAGAACAATAACTGATCATGGGGAAGGCTTTAACACATGAGTAAAAATGATTTTTTTGTAAAAACTTTTTAATTTAGTAGGTTTTTGAGCTAGTAATCTACTTTTACTTCACTATATTTGCCATTTATACAAATGTATTAAGGGGTAAGGGCATGTGAGGAGCACCTGTGCTGCAGATTCTGATGACAGAAAAGCCCCCCAAAAAGTGTATTTTCAGGTTTTTTTGTTTGTTTTGTTTTTGTTCTTTTTTTGTCTACACTAGCCTAGAGAGTTAAGAAAAACACCCTCTTGACGTTACAATGAACAGCTACGAAAATGTAACTCGCTACATTAAAAAGCAACCACTTGAAAATTACAACTATCCATTGCATTTTGTCCGTAGCATCATGCTGCTCCTATCTCTGTGACAGCTGCATCTTGTCCAGTAGACTCACCAGCTAGCGGGGATGTTTCCAGCTTTTTGGGGATCCTATGCAAAGAATATGTAAAAAGGGCCAAATGCTACTTATTACAAATAAAAAACATATTTTGATATGACTTAAATGCTGTTAACATGTTAACATGTTAACATCAAAATCATCAAAACAAAGTCTGTCTCTTGCCCCTGACAAAAAAGACACTTGTCCACCGCGCTGCGCCAAGCCACACTGGGTTGCAGACACCGTCAAAAGATATTTGCTACCCAGGTCAGTAGCTTTTCTGGGGGAAACCCTGCCATTCCTGGCAACATCTAGCTGCAATTTTTATACCAAAATCTAAAAATAGAAAATATTGGAAAGTAACGTGTACTTTAAATAATTAATCAACCAGGTACTTTTGTTTTTACTTTAACTTGAGTAGGTTTCTCAAAAGGTAATTTATACTTTTACTTGAGGTTTTTTTTTTTTTTTAAATCTAAGTGATTTTACTTTTACTTGAGTATAGATTTTCAGTACTCTACCCACCACTGACTAATCAAATACAATATATATACAGTACAGGCCAAAAGTTTGGACACACCTTCTCATTCAATGCGTTTTCTTTATTTTCATGAGTATTTACATTGTAGATTCTCACTGAAGGCATCAAAACTATGAATGAACACATGTGGAGTTATGTACTTAACAAAAAAAGGTGAAATAACTGAAAACATGTTTTATATTCTAGTTTCTTCAAAATAGCCACCCTTTGCTCTGATTACTGCTTTGCACACTCTTGGCATTCTCTCGATGAGCTTCAAGAGGTAGTCACCTGAAATGGTTTCCACTTCACAGGTGTGCCTTATCAGGGTTAATTAGTGGAATTTCTTGCTTTATCAATGGGGTTGGAACCATCAGTTGTGTTGTGCAGAAGTCAGGTTAATACACAGCCGACAGCCCTATTGGACAACTGTTAAAATTCATATTATGGCAAGAACCAATCAGCTAACTAAAGAAAAACAAGTGGCCATCATTACTTTAAGAAATGAAGGTCAGTCAGTCCGGAAAATTGCAAAAACTTTAAATGTGTCCCCAAGTGGAGTCGCAAAAACCATCAAGCGCTACAACGAAACTGGCACACATGAGGACCGACCCAGGAAAGGAAGACCAAGAGTCACCTCTGCTTCTGAGGATAAGTTCATCCGAGTCACCAGCCTCAGAAATCGCAAGTTAACAGCAGCTCAGATCAGAGACCAGGTGAATGCCACACAGAGTTCTAGCAGCAGACCCATCTCTAGAACAACTGTTAAGGGAGACTGCGCGAATCAGGCCTTCATGGTCAAATAGCTGCTAGGAAACCACTGCTAAGGAGAGGCAACAAGCAGAAGAGATTTGTTTGGACCAAGAAACACAAGGAATGGACATTAGACCAGTGGAAATCTGTGCTTTGGTCTGATGAGTCCAAATTTGAGATCTTTAGTTCCAACCGCCGTGTCTTTGTGAGACGCAGAAAAGGTGAACGGATTGATTCCACATGCCTGGTTCCCACTGTGAAGCATGGAGGAGGAGGTGTGATGGTGTGGGGGTGTTTTGCTAGTGACACTGTTGGGGATTTATTCAAAATTGAAGGCACACTGAACCAGCATGGCTACCACAGCATCCTGCAGCAACATGCCATCCCATCCGGTTTGCGTTTAGTTGGACGATCATTTATTTTTCAACAGGACAATGACCCCAAACACACCTCCAGGCTGTGTAAGGGCTATTTGACCAAGAAGGAGAGTGATGGAGTGCTGCGGCAGATGACCTGGCCTCCACAGTCACCGGACCTGAACCCAATCGAGATGGTTTGGGGTGAGCTGGACCGCAGAGTGAAGGCAAAGGGGCCAACAAGTGCTAAACACCTCTGGGAACTCCTTCAAGACTGTTGGAAAACCATTTCAGGTGACTACCTCTTGAAGCTC